ATACAAAGAAACTGGACGTCAGATGGACATTTCCACTATCAACCCATCTATCTCTCAGATCTATCAGAGTGAAACACTTGGACTTAAGATGAAATGGTGATAAGATTTGAGGGTCTTTTTGATTGTACATCCAATGTGGCAATGAGTGAAAGTGAGGGGAGGGTCTGCATACTGGCATTAACTATAGGGTCAGAAAGTCCCAAGGTTGACAGATACAATAGGCACAATAGCACAGTAAAATGATGCAATGACAATGAATGTCAAATGGAGTGTAAAGAAATAGCATAGTAGGCTATGTACTAATAATAGGTATAATAGCCCACACCTACAGTCAGTATGCTCATATGAACATTGCTAGTTTTGATTTCATAACCTTTTACTGTAATCACTTTGTATTTAGTGAATAATTCAAGGTGTTTATTTGTAAGGGTGCATTAGCGGAAACTGCTCAACTTGCTGTGGGGCTGTATTTTTGAATAGGGGGGCAAGGAGGGGGTTCTTTCACCTTTTTTTTAATCTATAGACACCCCAAATATAGCCATACTGGGATAAGTAATCTTAAAATCACAGTATACACATTCAGTTCCAGGATAAACCTACATTTTTTCTGTCTATGCAAAAAGATTAAAATGTTCATAATTTACTTCCCTGTTACAATCGCTTTATTATATCTTGCTTTAGTATGCTTTTATGTGTTCATTTTTTTTGTGAATTTTGAACACATTCGTGAAATATTAAGAGCTGATACATTACATTTGTTTTGTTGAAATGAAAACGCAGAAAAATGGTGTGTCCATATTGTATTCCTCTCTCTTATAAAAAGTTCTTGTTGTTTACTTCTGGTAGTGTAAATCATACTTGAATTCAAAAAATATAATATTAATAAATTCAACTACATAGAAACTTTTGCTAGCTCTTCAAACAACTAGAGCTTATCAGTTTACCAGAAATTTCTGCTTTGTTATCAACCACTTCATCATAGTGTTTGTTATTTTGTTCCTCCTGTCTCTAATTTTAAAAGTTCTATATTTTTTTCATCAATTTTGTGAATACGGTACGCTTTTGCTATAGCTTGAATTGTCACTATGTGACTGCCGCTTCTCCTTTCCCCCTGTCCATTGTCATGCAGATGTCCATTCATACATTGTTATGCAAATCGGAAATGCACGTATAGAACTTCGGCAGTTAGATGAGTTACACGCAAACTAATGTGTTTGAAAGTTTCTCGATGCAAGGAAAACAACTTTGTGGATGTATAAAAGTAATGGAAACACCTGCATGTGGTTTATGAATTGCATGCCCCTCTTTTCATTGCTTTTACCTTATATTTCTTACCAAAGAATAGGACTTTCCCAACTTTCATGCACCTGCTATTGGCTGTGGTATACACATAACTTTTAAATGCTGGGAAAAATTCGCCAACCATGCTATGAGAAAAGAGAGGGGAAATGGGGCCAGTGTTCATTTCTAAAACTTTCAGTGTGTTTATTGCCTCTGCTTTGTTTGTTCCTATTTTTACATTGGTTTGCCCTGGTGTGAACATTTTCCGCACCTGCTCTGTGTGGCAGCAAAAAAGTTTTGTTAAAAGCAGAAAGCTTAGCAAAACTATTATTTCAGTGCTGCCAAAAAGGGAGAAAAGTGTGGCATGCTTGTGAGCAATAATGCTTCTGTGCATTTTCCTTTTGTTTCAGTCACTTTCCCATTTATTTGTTGCACAAAATCAAAATCTGTAATCTTAGTGGCGCACCTGTTTTTAGATGTCCTGTAGTTTTTACTGTGCTAGGAACACAATGTGAAAGAGAGGCAAGGCAATCAACAGGGGAAGAGCCCTGGTAAATTGAATTCATCGTCTCTCTCATGTATAAAGTAGAATTGCAAGTTTGAAATAGTATGTTTATTGCTTTCACTTTTTCTTGCAATGCTGACACTAAGAAACTTAAAAAAACAATTTCATTTCAACAAAAATGTTGTATTCATTTGTTTTTCTTTAGATTATGATTCCTATGATGATGGTAACATGTACATTTCATGCCATTCATATCACTCAACAAGTTCCTACAAAAAGTTTATTCTTGATTGTACTTTTGATGTCTGATCTTATGGCTCTGCAGTTTTTCTTCATGGTACGAGACACTGGAAGTTGGTTAGAAATTGGAACAAGGTATGAACAACAGATAGGAAATCATTTGATTTGTTATTGAAACAAATGAAGTTTGCAAAAATGTTTTTATTTTGTTCCTATTCCTTATCATGTTGGAAGTTTTATTTTATATACCTTCCACTAGCAAATCTGAGAGCAATTATTTGATTCTTATTTGCGCTTCTATAAATGGTAACATCAGTTGCCGTTTAGATCTGACCCTGTCGTTGTATGGAACACAGAAGCACACATTTAACTATCATAAACTCAAAGTGTTCAGTAAAAAGCCCTGACAATACATTGACATGATGTTAAATTTTTCATTTGCAGTAATAAAAGCCCACATATATATGTTGACTGTTAATCTCATGATTGGTAATAGGGTTAACCCCCCACACCTGCTTGCAACACTGCTAGCCCCCTCCGTACACACTCCCAATACACCAGCCAGCATTTATAAGCGAAATGAGTTGTTTGCCCATTAAATTATCAGCACTTGTTTCTATGCATGTGAGTGCATGACACTTTGTTTAAGGTGAATTTCTCTTGTAGTAGGTTCACTGGTGGATACAGCTTGCATTGAATTCTCTGCACTTGATCGCTTTTTTCTCTACTGCTGGTAATCATTGCGTGGGTGTGAGGAGACACCTGTGTCTGCATTCATTACACAGTACACCATGTGCCAGCATTTCATTTCTCTTTACTCTTTCCCTGACTGCTGCAACTCGTATCAACCTTCGCCAAAATCCACATATTTAATATTTTTTTTTGGGGGGGGGGGGGGGGGTAATATTCCAAAAAAAGGTCAGTGCATTAACAGTATTCATCTGCTACTCATTATCTAATATCAAATAAAATGTGTTTATTTAGACCAAGGTCATTGTTTTCTGCCTCGTAATCTTTATTCAAACATCTATTATTATATTTGTATCTATATTTTTAATGAAAACATTCATAATTATTTATCATATTGTAATTTCCACATATTTCTATTGTTCTGTATGTGAATAGAAAAACTATTCATATTGAAAATATCAATTACATGACATGGATATTTTTTGACTTTCCACTTTTGTGAAACTCTGAAGGGCTCCCTAGATTTGAACACATGAATATTTTGACATAAAGAGATAAGTTGGTGTTCCAAATTCAAGCCCATTCGTGTTATTCGGCACAACAGATTTCCTGCACAAGTTCCAAGTCCCGGGTACTAAGGTGGAAAAATTAAGCAGTCCTTTCCACATTTCTTCACAGAAAATATTGAAATAATGTCAAAAAAATGTATTGTTGTTAGAATGAATGAATGTGGGAACTACCATAATTCTGACAACACACTGGGGGGGGGGGGGTATTGTGAGAATTGCTATCTAGTTGAATTTACATTGATAAATCATGTGCATGTAAATACAACACAACTCTCACTGTCAAATCTCTTCAATGCATTCCTACCATTGTGTCTCCTTTACAGTATTTTACTAGTTTACGATTAAGAGAATAACTTTTCATGTAAACTTAATCATTAATAATCCCAGTTTGAGATAAAAAATAATGCTAGCCACCTACATACCGTAATTTCATTTGAGTTAATATACTTCCAAACAATAAGCATATAATTGGAGAACCGCATTCAAAATAATAAAAATAACTATGTTGAATATACGTTTATCAAATTAGTACAGTTTGTGTTTACTAGTAAACAAATAGACAAATAACACACATTCTATGTGCTGTCCTCATTATGCTCTCAAGGACACAGTTAGCTCAACATCCTACAAAGTTGTTAAAAAGTCATTGTTTCAATTAAAACATTTGCATGTATGTGGATATCCATGGAGTGCTAAAATATAGTGCACTTCAGTAACATTGTTAGTATTCTCCACAAGTCGCTGCTGCTTACTTAAATAATAGGGGTGTTATGAAATAAATAAATCATATTTTGACAATCAAAAATACAATAAATATGATTTTTGGCTTATGTGCACTTCTATTGGCAGTGTTCTTCAAATTGAGCAAATACAATATATCACTCAATCCTAAACATTATGGGAGATCTGTCGAAACTTGCATATAATAATTTTTTTTTTTTTTCAGTATCAGTCATTACGTCATTGTGATGTGCATGATACTCTTTATCATGCTCCTCCTGGTGGTTGCCAAGTTATTTACAACTGCTACATTTCCATGGATACAGTGGTTGTCAAGGAAAACTCATATCCAATGAGCACAGGACACTGGTTTTAGCCAACAACACACATGTAATTAATCAATTGTGATGAGTTTCCAGTGAGCAAGACGATGTACAGAAGATGATGGCTTTAGAGAAAAATGGCATCAAGTATAATTTTTAAATAATGAGAAATAAAAAGACACTGCTTTTTTTTAAATTGTTGATGTTTATAAGCGTTTTAGTCATTTATATTCTAACTACTGTAAGATAATCGTGCAATCGTCATGGTAATTTTGTAAAAAGTTGTCCCCATAAACATAAAAGTCTTTGCAACTTGCAACACATAAGTATTTAATTTTTCCCATCATGCACCCACTGTTCTTAGTACCGTTACCATGGTTACATAAATCAGAGGATGTGATGATACGAGAAAATAAAACACTATTTGAAGGGAGAAAATAAGTCACATCGTTCTCTCACACTCAATAAAATCTCAGTGACCATTTTGCGTCTTAAGTTCTAAATAAACAAAAATCCATGCAGATTTTGAAAGCAGTGAACAGGAACACGGTTAGCCCAAAATGAGGTCACTTTCTATAGCTTTGTTATGCTGTACATTACCTCTCCTGTGAGTGTTCAACTTTTTTCTGGACCTCAGTATTTACTGTAAACCATTTAATGTTCACTGAAATGTTTGCAAGTTCAGGATTTTATGGCATTTATGAAAACAAAACTGCTCGAAAGTCATCATGACATGCTAATTTAAGTTCATATTTTATATGTTTGGATGACAAAGAAAGAAATAACTGATTATATACCATATGCTCCGGTTTTTGGTAGTTGAAATAAGAGCTCTCTGGGGAAAATTAGTAATAATCACTGAGCGAAAAAATTAACATATTTTGCTTGGTGATTATCATCCATTTTAATAATTCTCTGACTTCCTGCACTTTGTCGTCCCTGTGGTTGTTACATCTCTTCATTCATGTGGTTGCTTTACCTTGACGTTCCTTGTGTTGCTGTACCTCATTGTTCCTGCTGCACCGTATCACCTCTTGGGTGGCTGCACCTTATCATCTCTGGGGCTGCACCTTATCACCTCTTGGGTGGCTGCACCTTATCATCTCTGGAGCTGCACCTTATCATCTCTGGAGCTGCACCTTGTCATCTCTTGGGTGGCTGCACCTTATCATTTCTTGGGTAGCTGCACCTTGTCATCTCTGGAGCTGCACCTTGTCATCTCTGGAGCTGCACCTTGTCATCTCTTGGGTGGCTGCACCTTATCATCTCTTGGGTAGCTGCACCTTGTCATCTCTGGAGCTGCACCTTGTCATCTCTGGAGCTGCACCTTGTCATCTCTTGGGTGGCTGCACCTTATCATCTCTTGGGTAGCTGCACCTTGTCATCTCTGGAGCTGCACCTTGTCATCTCTGGAGCTGCACCTTGTCATCTCTTGGGTGGCTGCACCTTATCATCTCTTGGGTAGCTGCACCTTGTCATCTCTGGAGCTGCACCTTGTCATCTCTGGAGCTGCACCTTGTCATCTCTTGGGTAGCTGCAAGTTGTCGTTTCTTGGGTAACTACACCTTATCATCACTTGGGTAGCTGCACCTTGTCATCTCTTGGGTGGCTGCACCTTATCTTTTGGGTAGCTGCAAGTTGTCGTCTCTTGGGTAGCTGCACCTTTTTTTCTCTGGGGCTGCTGCACCTTATCGTCTCTGGGGTTGTTGCACCTCTTATCTCTTGGGTTGCTGCTCCTCGTCATCTCTAGGGCTGCTGCACCTTATCATCTATTGGGCTGCTGCACCTTATCGTCTCTGAGGCTGCTGCTCCTTATCATCTCTTGGGTTGCTGAACCTCGTCATCTCTGGGGCTGCTGGACTTCGTCATCTCTTGGGTTGCTGCACCTTGTCATCTCTTGGGTTGCTGCACATCATCTTGTGGGCTGCTGCACCTTGTCATCTCTGTGGTTGCTGCACCTCGTCATCTCTGGGGCTGCTGCACCTCGTCATCTCTTGGATTGCTGCACCTCGTCATCTCTGGGGCTGCTGGACTTCGTCATCTCTTGGATTGCTGCACCTCGTCATCTCTTGGGTTGCTGCTCCTCGTCATCTCTGGGGCTGCTGCATCTTATCTATTGGGCTGCTGCACCTTGTCATCTCTGGGGCTGCTGCACCTTATCATCTCTTGGATTGCTGAACCTCGTGATCTCTTGGGTTGCTGAACCTCGTCATCTCTGGGGCTGCTGGACTTCGTCATCTCTTGGGTTGCTGCACCTTGTCATCTCTTGGGTTGCTGCACATCATCTTGTGGGCTGCTGCACCTTGTCATCTCTGTGGTTGCTGCACCTCGTCATCTCTGGGGCTGCTGCACCTCGTCATCTCTTGGATTGCTGCACCTCGTCATCTCTGGGGCTGCTGGACTTCGTCATCTCTTGGATTGCTGCACCTCGTCATCTCTTGGGTTGCTGCTCCTCGTCATCTCTGGGGCTGCTGCATCTTATCTATTGGGCTGCTGCACCTTGTCATCTCTGGGGCTGCTGCACCTTATCATCTCTTGGATTGCTGAACCTCGTGATCTCTTGGGTTGCTGCACCTCGTCATCTCGTGTGA